ATGCGCAGTGACACCACTGACTTCACAAGAAAAGTGGATGCTCCGGGAGTTCTACACACATCACTTAAACTAATGCATAATCTTTAATATTAGACGACCCAATCAACAGCACGTAATTAATTCATCCTGTACTGTAAGTCCTATTTCCCCATGTGCAATAAACTGCAGGCTTATACTTTTTTACAAAATAGTTAACTTCCTTATTTCTAAATGATAACATTTCACAACTGAAAGCATGAATAATATCAATACAAGCATCAATATTAAAAGAAATATGCGTCCGTGTTGCGCCAAGAATGAAGAAAGAACAGTTCCCTGCATAATCGCCTCTCAAATTAAAACATGCCGCCTGGTTAACTGAAATGCTGCACGTAGCCGACATAACGCATGAACACACGTACAATTAGTTTAAAAACTTTCGTCACTACCAAGCGTATTTATTCATTTCAGATAATTACGGGATGGCACAAAATTTAATCGGGCAGCATAAAGCTTGATTTAGCGTAAAAAAAGAGGAGGCTAGGCAACTGCATAATGAGGAGATTTATAATATATGAGTGAACTATTAGGGTGATCAAATCAAAGAGGATGTGATGGATAGGGCACACAGCATGCATGGGAAGATGAGAAATACGTACAGAATTTTAATCAGGAAATATAAAGGAAAGAAAACACGTGGAAGACACAAATGTAGATAGAATGATATTTTAAAATATATCTCAAAAGAAACAGAACCTGGTGGTGTGAACTGGATTTGCCTTGCTCAAGACGAGAGTCCAGTGGGTTAAAACACAGGTCGCATGAATCCATTAGAAGTAAAAGTAAGTACAACTTGGGAAACTTACGTAAGAAATGATTTCCAGCTACAAACAGCCAAAGTCTAAACATGTGGAGACTGCAGATGATGCACGGTTTGCACTCGACCTCCCGTTTTCTGACCCACAGGCCGCTTTCTCTTCGCACACGGAACACAGATTCCCGGGTTTAAGCATTCGAAGATAAGCAAATACGATGGGAAAACGTACACAGAAAACTAAATTAAACAATATATTAATGCGAATAGGAAAAAGAAAGCATACTCAGGAAGGTTAAACTTTCTTGCAAGCATAATATCCATCAACACAACAATCGTGAAGCATTGCTATTTTTCGTGAAACCAACAAATACATCAATAGGTGATAGCTCGATTATAACAATTTCAAGGAGAGGACTACGAGAAAAAAATCCTTGATGATTACAATTTTTTTACAAATTAGTTGTTCCCAACCCACATCAAGCATTTCCTAACATCAGTCATATTTCATCAGGGCTAAAGATGGCTGCAGCATGTTTCTCCGAAACGTTGGTATATACCCACAAACTCGCACGACGTTACAACCCAGAAGATCAACATCGACCATTTCGTACTTGAAGCAAAAGAACTTTCCTACGCTTCTCTGACTGAAACACTTGACCGCTGTGACCAACGATCCGCAAGAAAAACAGGAGAAAGAGCTATGTAATGAGTAGGTCGCTTAAGTACAAGGCCTATACATTAACTCTCTTTTTTGTTCTGACCTGACAAACTTCCCATGAGATTTAAAAGAGACATGATTCTTGTTACACATCACAAATTCAATAACTGGCCTTGAATTTACGATTTGAACAAACTTATTTATAGGACAAACCATCGCTCATTATGCAAATGCAGTTCTTTAAGAACTTTACGACATTAAGACTTGTGAAGTGGGTTGTAACTAATAACGAGTTGGAATAGAAATTTTCCTCATTTTAAGCCGGTATTCATAAATTATTACAGGAAGTGATATCAGTTATCAACCCTAAACTACTGCCGGTTTTAAAATAAAATACTAATTCTCAGACCAGTTGTCCATGACCTCCGGCTTGAACAAGTGTTTACCTCTGCTGTGAATTGCGCAGCAAAAGCGCTCTATCCACGACTATCGACAGATACATGAGACGATGTTGCGAGGATAGGACGAGGTTCGAACTAGCTCAGAATCATGTTAGACGAGAGGTTGGATGATAACGATGTTGCTTTTTTTTTTCCCGAACAAAATGTTCGATCGAATTCAACCTTCCGGTGACAAACAGTGGAGGGAAAGGTTGGTTATGTGCTAGGCTCATTCAAGGCTTGCACAGGCGAAAGTTTTTATCGATCAGTTTACGAGCAAGACTCACTTCGGATATCATTCCTACACTGTGAGGGCTTATAAAGGCTCCTTTCTATTCACAGAATAGGTCATACTTTAACACCAGCTCAGCTTTCCTTCCTTACGCCACTCATCGCTCACCGCTAACAACAATGACGGGTACCATTAGCTGATGTTGCGACCACTGCGATGCAAATAATGATTCTCTTCCTGTACAGTGAAAGGCGGACACATTCGCACTTGCCATTTGCACAATCAGCTCCAAGTGTGAGGTAATAACAATGGAGCCAGCCGAGGATGATATTATCAGCTCGGCGCTGCAGAAACGTAAGTTTCCCAATCGTGCTGGATGCGGAAGGGAGGATTTATTATGCGACAGACGCAAGCAAAATAGAATTTTGATACAGATTAGTAATCTGCACGATGTCAAACATAAACAATCAAGTTGGTGTGGTGCACTTTGAAGGCTCCTGACTATCCTGACTGAGCCTTCTCGTAGTTTTCGTCAGTCTCGCAAGTCCTTCCTAATCCTTGTTAATTTGTACTACCTCGCGTCGCGGTTGAATAGCCGAGTGGCATTCTCGTTTCGTATTCGGGAGATATTTTTTTCTACAATCAATAATATAAGAATGCTAGATGTGCAAAATTCTGAGGTGGAAGACAGCCGGCGCCAATGAATGTACAGTCCTAAAATTCTAATTATTTCACGTAATTCCTTTAAAATCGACGCTTCAACGGGTAACGTCTCTGAGAACTGCGTGAACGAAGCCAAAAGCTGTCTTTTGGTTATGGTGTTTCCATCCAAGCCTAAAGTACAGTCAGCCACAAAACTACGCCGAAGAGTCTCTCTCTCTCTTTACTGAAACAAACAGGTTACAAGACGGTAACAAGCGTGTCAGGAGCGCACTCCTACAAACACAAAGAACCATCATTTCGTGCAAAACCTCATTACGGTGTGAGCATTCACACCATGTGCCTTCGCAGCAACAAGAGTAATTGCAGAGAAACCGTCTGCTTCAAAGTAACTGTTCAGATGACAGTGTGGCCATTGTGTCTTTAAGTTATGCCCCTGATTCTCGCGATAGATGGTAGGGAAGACACAGCTGGCACAGTAAAGACGTTAGATGAGCCATAAGCCCACTTATCATTCATAACTTTTCCACTGACAAACCTTTGAACAGTAAAGACAAGTAAGGAATCTTCCGTCGCCTACTCTAAGGGACTATCCTAACATTTACATGGCGGAACCGAGCACAATCAAATAACAATACCCGGATCATCCCCCCCCCACCCTTTGCGGGGCAAGGTAAGTCCGTAACACGAAGCAGGAGAATGGAAAACGTTATTAAAGAGAGTGACACTCCATTCTGTATTTCACAATACTATTATAGAATACACATTTTCGTAACATTCTGTATCTTTTGTGCGATCCATCATATCGCAGATGAAATGGCAAGAAGAGAAAGTACGTCAGTTATCTGAACAACACACAACTCAGTCCAAAGAAATATTTACTTCATTTATTTGCCTGAATGGTGTCGAGTGCACGGACCGCAGATATGAGCTTGGAACTCTCAAGTGCCGGGGGGCTGCAAATCTGGATTGAAGCCATATTACATTTCACTGGTTACATGAATATATATTACGGTGAATTTAAACACGTTTGGAATATTTCGGAAGCTTGCCAAACCTCTTTCACCCATGACGATATTCTAAAGGAAGAAACGCATAAAACTGTTCAAATACATGCGGTTACACTTTCATTTCATTTTCTTCTTCTTCTTCTTCTACTTTAGATTCAACCACTAATGGGCATTCCGATCAAAACAAGTCAGCCAACAGACTATTGTTAGGACAGTGAAATCTATGTGGTTACGATAGGCTGGGCATGTTGCTAGGATGGAGGACACAAGAAATGCGTACAGAATTTTGGTGAGAAAACCTCTTGCAAAATCCACTTGGATGACGAGAAGGGGAATGAAAAATAGCATTAAATGGGTAATTGGAAAATACGCAGTCTGGATTGGAAATGGAAGGAACAGATCTTCTACCTGTGAGACATACAGCCCAGATTCTAACACTGATGGCACAACATACATTCCTTAGATCCAAAATCAAAGCAGGAAAAATCAAATAAAGAACACAAAACAACTTGTGCTGTTTTAGTAGAAAACTATACGTACTAACAATCAAGATCTCAAAATGGTTAACGGAGGCAGCAGGGACCTCTGACACGTGGGTAAACATCTACCAGACAACACGGTGCAACAACCCAAAGACAGCCATCTTTGTGCTCACAGTCGTGAAAATCTCAAATCCTACTGTACAAGGTTTCATTTTAATCGGTATTATTTTGATTCTAGACTATTCTATTCTGCTCGGAATAATAGACGATGAGCAAGGTACAGAAGAAACCTAGTAATAAGCTTACTCACTGTAATACACCATCGTTAGGAATCTCTAAAAAGGTTTAATTTTATGCATAATTAAAAATTCGGTGTTGTTTCAGGACATAAATCCTCTGATATGTGTTACAGGTAAAGGCGGGACTCTCCAGCCACACAATCAGCCAATATGGGGATGTCCGGAGAGCATGTGAAGTTGTTCCGCGAAATCAACACGACAGTAAGCTGCCATCCCATCGGACGAGATTCGCTATAACTTCACGAGATTCTGCTCGGAATAATAGATGATGAGCAAGGTACAGAAGAAACCTGATAATAAGCTTACTCACTGTAATACACCATCGTTAGGAATCTCTAAAAAGGTTTAATTTTATGCATAATTAAAAATTCGGTGTTGTTTCAGGACATAAATCCTCTGATATATGTGTTACAGGTAAAGGCGGGACTCTCCAGCCACACAATCAGCCAATATGGGGATGTCCGGAGAGCATGTGAAGTTGTTCCGCGAAATCAACACGACAGTAAGCTGCCATCCCATCGGACGAGATTCGCTATAACTTCACGAGATTGACCGCTGGAAAACACCACAAAAACGTTTATGGAAATATGTGAACGTCAAACTTAGGTCCAATGGACTCGCATGATGACCATGGCAAACAAATACAGAAACCTAGTTATGCCAAAGACAACGACCTACGTCTTCGTATAAAGTTACCAATCAACATTCAACCTTCTAGTATATTAAATGTAATTTTACTGTGATAAAGCTACACTAGTGGTGAACTCCAAATATAAGTCATGTGAACACCGTGACACAAATTATAACCAAGAACACCAAGAAGAACATTTATTTCGAACTAAGCTGTTCATCTCCGCGACCTAAAACACTGATCTCATCCCCTGAATAATTTACAAAAGAGAAGCAGCAGTTTTACTTTAAGCTGCAGCTAGAAATGCGTTAAGTGATTCCATTATTGGTGCCGACAACTGTAATTATAATCAATATTTACTGTCTGTCAACTAAACCATGCACTTCCACCCTTGACCTACGTTGACTTTCATTTTCCTTCGGAGTGGAAGCCTTAAACAAAACAGACATCACCACTGCGTTCTCAATGAATTGTCATACGTTTCCACCACATAAACTTACACGCGCTGAACTGACATAATGCTGTTCAGTATCATCGCCACTACGGCAGCTCTCAAGACTGCAATCGGTGTCGTTGGAACGGGCCTCTGGCTAATTCCACTCCTCATTGCTGGAGTCGCGTATTACAGGTACGACTACCTTGATCCAGAGTCACGTCCTATAGACCAATATCCTCTGTACAAGGAATACGACTTCGTCGTAATTGGAGGAGGATCGGCCGGTGCTGTTGTTGCTAGTCGCCTGTCCGAAATTCCTCATTGGACCGTGTTGCTGCTTGAGGCGGGACCGGATGAAAACGAAATCAGCGACGTTCCATCTCTAGCTGCATTTCTACAGCTGTCTAATTTGGATTGGCAGTACAAGACCGAGCCCACCGGAGGAGCATGCTTGGCTATGAAGGGCGGGCGATGCAACTGGCCTCGCGGGAAGGTACTTGGAGGGTCTAGCGTTTTAAACTATATGCTATACGTCCGGGGGAACAGGCACGATTATGACCACTGGGAATCGCTAGGTAACCCAGGCTGGGGTTACAAAGATGTCCTGAGATATTTCAAGAAATCCGAGGACAACCGCAACCCATACCTTGCACCGTCCAAGTACCACTCGAGAGGCGGTTACCTTACAGTTCAAGAGTCACCGTGGAGGACGCCACTGTCACTTGCCTTCATTCAAGCAGGCCAAGAATTAGGTTACGAGAACAGAGACATAAATGGAGAATTACAAACTGGTGTTATGATAGCGCAAGGAACAATAAGGCGGGGCACACGGTGTAGCACAGCCAAAGCGTTTCTGAGACCTGCAAGACTACGTAAAAACCTACACGTGGCCATGAAATCCCATGTTATACGGATACTTATAAATCCGTTTACGATGAGGGCTTATGGGGCGATGTTTGTGCGCAACGGCGTGAGACAGATCGTTCTGGCGCGCCGGGAAGTTATACTGTCAGCCGGAGCAATAAATTCCCCGCAGCTTCTAATGTTGTCAGGAATAGGCCCCAAAGAACAACTGTCCAAGTTCGGTATACAGACATTAAAGAACTTAAAAGTCGGCGAAAACTTACAAGATCACGTAGGACTTGGTGGTATGACGTTCTTAGTCAATAAGCCAGTGGCGATTGTTCAAAAACGATTTCAGACGGTTCCAGTCACCGCAGAGTATCTGTTACATGAACGAGGGCCTATGACCACGCTGGGTGGATTGGAAGGTCTAGCATTTGTTAATACAAAATTTGCAAATATTTCAGGAGCATATCCTGACATACAATTTCACTTTGCGCCAGCTTCTGTAAATTCGGACGCTGGGCTCCAAGTTCGTAAAATACTTGGGTTAACAGATCAAGTCTACGATGCCGTGTACAGGCCTATAGCAAATCGCGATTCATGGACACTTTTACCACTGTTACTCAGACCTCGATCCAGAGGGTGGATACGACTGAGAAGCAGCAATCCGTTTCACTATCCAGTAATCCACGCAAATTACTTCGACGATCCGTTCGACGTCGCTACGTTGGTGGAAGGCGTAAAGATAGCAGTAAAAATGAGTGAAACAAATGCATTCAGACAGTTTAAATCCAGAATCCACCGGACGCCCATACCTAGATGCAGGAAGTATCCGTTTGGGTCTGATGCTTACTGGGAGTGTGCTGTAAGAAGCATATCAATGACAATATACCATCCTGCCGGTACCTGTAAAATGGGACCAGAATGGGATCCCGACGCAGTTGTTGATTCCAGGTTACTGGTATACGGTGTGAAGGGTCTTCGAGTCATAGACGCGTCAATAATGCCGACTATTGTGAGTGGTAATACCAATGCCCCGACTATTATGATAGGAGAGAAAGGTGCTGATTTAGTCAAGGAAGACTGGTTGAACCGAAGAAGCACTAAATTAAAGCCTAT